GGGGGGGGTGGCAAGGGGTATATGCGTACATAAGAAGTTTTGATATAAAAGGGCACAGCTACAAACAGCTCTTTCTTTTCGTTTTTGGCCTCTTTATTTAACAGCTAATTCAAAGAGATGTCGACAAACAGCTTCTAACTTGACTGGCACTTGCTGATGCTGATTACTCTGCTAAAACTTCGATATCGTTAAACAGCTGATTGTAAAAACGGAATGTTCTGTTGAGCGGCAGTGTAGTCAGTAGATGTAATGTGTAGTCGGGTTGAATTGTTTAATGTTCCTTTGGTATAATTAATCCATAACCTGTTTTCGTTTTTTCATTTACTTTCAATGGCCTACAATTTAGTTTAGATGATTTGTATATGAGTAGTGGTTTTTCTCTTTTCTTGTTCTGCAACATATGGAGCGTTAAAAGTCCAAAAAGAATAAATTTTTGTTACTATATGGTTGAATCAATGTATACGATCTTTGCGGAGATAATTTAAGTTATATATATATATGTATCAATGGGTTTATATTGAAAACTAAAATGGATCAATTTTCATTGCGCAGAGTATCGTTCTTCGATTCATTTCATCTACTGTGCAGACGTAAAAAAGAAAAAACTTTGACGCCTACTTACACTATATATTTCTTTTTGTTTCTTTTCGTTTACGAAATATTAAATAATTACTTATTTTGATTAAATAATAAATTGATAACTTAGACAGAAACCGATACACAGACGCAGATAATTAAACCTGCAAAACAAGGATTTGGTTGGATGATTATTGTGGTAACAAATGCTATATAATGTAATCGTTGTATTTGTGGATGCCCAGTGAAATATTGTCAGCTGTAGACGTTGGACAGTGCTTTCATATTTTCTGTATTCTTTGTGTGTGTGTTTTCGTATCTAAGAACATTTGCTTTTATCTGTATCCATGGTTGATGAAGGTAGCTGACAAAAAGAAAGAAAAAACTGAAGTTGTTAGTCAATCATCAACAAAATCATTTTGCATAAGATAAAATAGTTGATCGATGAAAAAAAATGTGACGGTTTTTGGTTTGAAAAAATTAGTTTTTTTCCTTTATCCCTTCAAAATTTATTTCAGCGGTTTCATTGCTCTACTTCAAAAGTTAAAAAGAATATTTGTTCGGCTCTTTTTTTTTTCTTTTTCGAAATTTTATTGAAAGATGATGTTTTATTGTAAGAAAATCCTATATGACCATATATTTGGTCAAAAAAAAAGACGGCATTGCTACAAATTTGATGAAAAGTGATGTGGTTACATATGTGTGTTTTCGACTTATTTGTATTTGTATGGATATATGTATGTCGCATTTGAATGAACGATTACGGTGCTTATTGGAATTTAAGCATCAAGGAAATACTTTAGTTTATGCCACTTCAACTTTCTTCCGACAAATTTTTTGCATTTTTTTCTCCATTATTATTTTTTCTTTCTTTTTGTCTGTTTGATTTTTTTTCTGCCACTACTCTTTAGTTATTGTTGACAATTGTTTGCTTCAGATTAATTTATTTATTTTGTTCGATTGGAAGCGTCTAATCGTCAATCGAGTGACAGTGGTATATATTAGTTACAGCTCTGAATGGACCGACATTGGAATTTGTTGGATGAATTCGATTTATTATCAAACATTCCTAATGAATTTCATGGATTGATAGAGTCAAAAAAATGGTCAGATAGACGTGATGCTTTACAGTTGATTATCGATTTATGCAGTAAAAATCCGCGACTCAATTGCCAGGGTAACTACAGGGAACTTATTAAGAAATTTTTGGAAGTAAGTTACTACAATTTTTTTTCCGCTTCTGATGCTTAAACTGATTTTAACCCATTTTTATACTGTAAAACTTACAGTTATTTCACAAGTTCAAGTAATATAATTGTTTTGTTTCATCAACAAACTTTAGATTGTGGAAAGTGACTCGAATGTAGTCTGTGTTGCTCTTGCCGTTCGTTGTATAACTGTTTTGGTCCAGGGATTAAGAAAGCATTTTAAACCATTTACGTCACAGGTCGGTTATCTTTTGATAGTACCCGCTTGTCCGATCTATTTTTAATCTTTGATGTTGATTTGTAGTGAAACTGCTTCAAGTGTTATCGCTTTGAACTTGTGTTCTTGTGCAGCAAAAATTTTTTTATTTGTTGTAGATCGCTTTAGTGAAACTTAGTGCAGGTCAAGAAAGTAATATAAGAGATTTTATTGGATTGTGTATTAGATAGATGTTGTGTTACTTGCAGTTTATTGGATAAAATTTAGAATTTCAGCTCTATGGAATTTATACAGCAGAAATCCATTAGGCTTGGACACCTTGCTAATTATAATTTTATCATAATTTTGCTAAGTCTAATGATCTTTAAATTTTTTGGTTGCTGATCACTTGCGGCACTTCTTTTGTAACTAATTGATTTTTTTTTTGTTGAAAACAACTTGTTTTGACCTGTTAGCTGTCCACTGATAAAAGACAGGTGATATTAAAAAAAATTTTCATTATCAGTTGCTGTTGAGAGGCTTTTTGTATAAAGATTATTTTTATTGTAAATGAGACTTCTTAGTTTTTATCTTTGTTTAGGTATCTTTTTTTTTGATTGGTAGAAACTAGCAGTCAGGTTAGGCCTGGTATTAAACTTTTGCAGACAACCATCGTTATTTTGAAGAAATTCAGAGAAACAAAACAGAACGTACGTAACGCTTTGGTTGATTGTGTGGATACACTGTTCCTTTACGTAAGTTTAGCAAACATATATATATAAATAAATTCTTTTTTCAAACTACAATTAAAAAGAAAAGCAACTGTTTTGAGTGGTTGTCAGTGTTCTTCTGTGGCATGGAGAAGTGCGTGTTATGTGCTTTTAATTTCTATCTTGGAATTTTTTGAAAATTTTTTTGGTTGGTTATCTGGTTTATAAGCGGAGGCTTGCTTTTAATAATATTGTTCAGCGCAAAAAGTATCAAAAGTAAAAACTGTATTCTACAGTTACATAGTCATAACCACTCTCGAGTGAAATTTTACTCTTAGAACGAAAAAAAAAGAAACAGTGAATCATTTTTGAATACCGATACTTTTTTTGTGAAGAAAGGGTCTGGAATATTTTTTTGGGAATTTCTTAGCTTGGTTTTTCAGAATGATTTGAAGTTATTACAAGGACCAATAGTTGAGACATTAAAAGAAAGCACGAGTCCTGCTGTTGTTTCCAACACTCAGTTATGGATATACCGAATGCTTTTATACTGCTCGGCTGAAAATGAAGTCCTGACTTTTGTAAAAGCCGTAGCATCATTTGTGGTTGAGGTACCTGGAATAAAACCATTTCTGCTTCTGTATCTGCTTTGAAAGCAATTTCAGTTTTCAAATTCGGAACGGTTCTGTTATTTTTTTATAATTAGTGTACTTTTTCTTTTCCAGCATTCATGCAGTGGCGATGCCTCTGTACGGGATGCAAGTTATATGATTTTTGCCGGAGTGTGGAGGATTTTTGGCGAAAAACCTACTAGCACGATATTCAGTAATGCATTTGATGATGTTGTAAAAAAAAAAAAAGTAGATGAATATTACGCAAAGGCTGTTGCTGAAGCTGAAGAAATTGAAAAAAATCGTCAGAAGGAGCAAGCTGATAGGAACGGTGGTGAAGGCGGATCAGCTGTGGACGATAAAGTTAGCCAGTTCTTTATCAGTTCTTTATTTGCTTTTTTTTTTACTGTTCTGTGACAACGTTCTGTGACAAGTTACTGTTCTGTGACAACGTGAACTTTTTTATTAGTATTTTGAAATGTAGAAACTTTTTGTGTTTTATAAGGAACTAATTTTTATTGCTTCTATTTGGACTTCTTTTAAAGGTTGCTTTTCGAGCAGTTTTGAAAATAGCTTTGGTATGAAGAAGAGTTAAGTTTTGCGAGAAAAGAAGGTTTTTTTATGGTAGTTGGATAAAGTCGACGTGTTGGAAACCACATCCGGTGTCGAAAAAGTTGATGTTTGGGAAACGTTAGAGCCTGTTGATATATCTCCTGATCTACCGAGCGATTTTGAGTCATTGGTCATGTCTAAGCAGTGGAAAGAGAGGAAGGAAGGTTTAGAGGTCCTTTTTATATTTCTAGCGATTTTCAGTTTCAAATTTCACGCAGTGTGATAAAAGTTTAGTTCTCAGTGATACTTTGTATTGTTTATAGTTTCAAGTTCAAGATCTTAAAAGGCAACTTACTTAAATTCGATCCTCACTTGAGTTTTCACAACAAGAGGAGTGCAAACGAGGAAAGATTTTGTAAATTTAAAAGCCAAATTTAAAGCCTTTTATCGTTTATTCTGCCTTCGTTGAAGAGTGTATAAAAGTGGCTTACTGTTATTATTGAATCCACTCTTGATGTCATGATTTTTAAAATTTTTTAAGGCTCTTCTTACTGTTTTGGAGAAGAATCCGCGACTAAAATTCTGCTCTGGTTGTACTAATCTGATCGATACATTGTCAGAGGTACTCCTTTCATTTATGTTTACAGATACTTTTTTATGTTGAGGATGCACTTAGAACTTTTTGACACGGTAATTTACAGCTGTTTACTAATGGAGTTATTCTACTAATGTTTCTTTTAAAACGCATATTTATCCTCTCATAATTATGTTTTTGTGGAAACATTGTTTGCCTTTACTGTGAGAGTAAAATATTTGTTGGTCATTTTAAAATTGTTTATTTTGGGTTTTTTCTGACCGACTTGATTGTTAGTCAATTCTAGCCTGTTTTTCTTCAGTTTGGACAGTTTATTTTAAGCTTTTTGCGAAAATTGGGGCACTCTGCAACTATGGTTATTTTTGATTTTCTAATTAATTTTTTAAAGCTTTTAATTTTGTATTAGCGAGGTCCAATTTGTTATGGGATTTCAGATATTGGGAAAAGACGTTAATATCAATGTGGCAGCGCTTGCTGCGAAGGCCTTGTCTTTTTTAGTTGAAGGGTTGCGCTACGATTTTGCCCCGTACAGTTCAACAGTATGTTGATTTATGCTTCAGCTTTTTGAGATTTTGGCTAGTGCTCTATAGATGAAAAAAATTTGGCTTTTTCTTGCTAAACAGGATGGATGTTTTTATAAAGAGGAGGAAGTTTTCTAGGCTTTTGCAGTATTTTTTTGCTAATTAAATGTTTTTTTGTGTAAAGCTTATTCAGGTTTCAGTAGAGCGCTCTGTCCCATTTGATGACCTCAAATTACTTTTTCGTTGATTAATTTAGAACAGCTTACCAAATAATATCAGGTCCTGACATAATAGAAATAGTTTTGCTAGACATCTTGTCACTGTAGAAGTTTTATTTTTCACCTTAATATTTTTTTATTTTTCATCGAAGTTTGGGGTTCATATTAATTTGGGAATAATTTTTCAAGCAGGTTATATGAAAGATACCACGGAAAACAGCTTTAGGAGCTTTGTGTTTAGCGCAGTTCACAATGAAAGCTTTGATTTTGATGCGAAGTTGATTTAATTTTTTTAGGTCCTTGTCAATGCATTTAATAAATTTAAAGAAAAAAAGGCCGTATTGCGCAACCCTGTAACCACTCTTGTTGATACTGTAGGATTCTTTGTAAGTTTTAATTTTTTAGAGGGGCTACGAGTTCTGCTCTTCAACAGAGTTTATTTACTGCTGTATTATTATTTCAAGGCGCCTCCTTCAAATTACGTCGGATGTGTTCAAGATTCACTGGAAGCTGGAAATCCCCAAATCAGATCACAGACCACATTGTTTTTGTCCCGCCTTTGGAAGTATCATGACGGGTCTTGCTTGCCTGTTTCTTTTGTAAGAGACGTTGCCGCTTCACTGGTTAAGGTAATTTTTATTTAATCATATTCCATTCCATTTGCGTTGCTACAGGAACGTTTTGAAGACTATGTATCTGAATAAGTTTCAAAGAGATCATTTTTTTTTATTGCAGCGTGCTTCCGATTCAGACCCAGAATGTCGAGAAGCTGCTTATGCTGCGATTGGAGCAGTTATGAAATCAACTGGGGAGGATGGAGTCAGGTCTTTGTTCACTGAAGTTGGGCAAGATGAGATTAAAATGTCTAAGGTTGGTGCTATAAGAGTTTTTTTCCGAGATAGCTAGTCATTCAAAAATGTACGCATTGCCAGAGCTAACATCATTTCTGGTAATATATTCCATCTTTTTGAACAGGTAAGAAGTAATTGTGAAATGTTCGTAAAAGAATGTGGGCTAAAGGCAGATAGCAGAATTATGAGACTTTATGAAGCGTTTGGAGTGCCTAGCGCGTCTGGTGAACCAAAAAAAGTTAAAAGCCTTGGAACAGCTTCTACCAGGAACCTTAAAAGGACTGGCCCTTCGGTTAGCGACGGTTAAACACCACTTGATTAGTTTCTCCTAGTTTGTTCTTATGAATTGATTTTCAAGTCATTTGTTACTTTCGATATCTTATTTTTTTTTTTGCACTTTGCATAAGCTGTCATTTATCACTGTGCAACGTCCATTTAAGTAAAACTTCTGTTCATTTAAAACCAAACAGCGCGTGCTGTTGAAGCTTCAACCGGTCTCCCCGTTATCTGGGAAAGATAGAATTTTCTAAGCTAGGGGGACATTTATACATTTTTTTAGCAAGGCCAGCCCGCTGTGCGTAAGAAGAATTCTGGAATGAGACCGAACATAGCATGCTCATCTAGTTCCAGCTCAAAAATGGAATGTGGAAAAGCGGTCGGGCCCAAATCTGCATTTTCTGGTAACTACTACTTTTTAAAGTTTTAAAAGTTTCAATAACTATTCTCAATAGTTTTCTAACAAATTTTAGAAGCAGTTCGAGGGAAAGTCGGTACAGTTTTACAGCAAAAGAACATTCAAAGTTGCGAGGTGATAAATGGCGCCACAGGCACTTCAGAATTGGTGGAACAATTGCAAGTGGACTCGCCACTTAGCAATGATGATGTCATTCACGATGCTTTGGTATACAGCAATTAACGTTTCGTTAAACTTTGAAAAACTTAATCTTCCCATACATTTAAATGCTTACTTTAGTTCGTCTCACTAAACGTCTTAATGGTTGTCTGAATTTCAGCAGGAAAATATACGAGGCAAATCTCAACATTTCAACCACTTGAGCGAAGTATTGGATAATGTTTATCATTCTGAAGATGGGGGTTTTTTGAAAACGCAAATTAAGCTTATCCCAAGGCCAAGAAGTCAGCCTTCGTTAACAGCAAAGTATTCATCATTACAGTCAAGAAAGAGCCGTATACCTCTTCTCTTGTCTAAAAGATAAATACACCACAAACTTTGTTGTAATTGTTAATGACTAGTTTTTGTAAAATTTAAACGTTCTTGATCTTGTTTTCAACATGGAAGTGATTGGAAAAATGCTTGTATTTCACCAGTTTTTCTTCATTTTGTTCTTTAATTATTTTGATGTATCATGCCTTCCAGGTTTGATGAAAAAGAGTTTCATTGTCTTCCGAACTTAAGCTCTCTTTACAGAAATTATCTCAAGATTCACTTCAGTTCGTTTACTGTATATAATAGGATAACGTGTTGTTAAGTTCGTCTCGTTAGTTAATGTTTCTACTGTTCTCAACGTCTAGCTGCAGTCATCCTGCAGCTTAAACTTCATATCGGGTTTTGCTAACTAAATGGGTTTGGTTACTTTTCTTCGGAGAGGATTAATATTTTAAAACATTTAAGCAAAGAAAAATTTATGAGTTACTTCAAATGTATGATTGCCCTTTTTGTCTGCAGTTCTAATTGTTACGATCTGCCGAGTCACAGCCTAGCGCCTGTAGACACCAAATGGGTCTTTAAAGTTTTAAAAAAAGATATAAGTGAATACGGCAGTCAAGTAATATACGTGGGAATTGTGACATTTCAAAGCATTTTTCTTTTGGTGAGATTTTATTAAATAAAGCTTTGAAAATGCGGCAGTTCATGACCATTTAAAAAAGGAAGCCATTATTGCTTTGTACAACGTTGTAAGAGGTTGACTAGTGGTAGAGGCCGCGAAGAACTGGTTGGAGGAATGGAAAAAACCTCGTAGGGGAAGAGAGTTGTAATGTTTAGGCTGGTCACTGTGAAGCATGCCGATACGGGTTAGGGGACAAAGAATTTGTGCTCTAACTAGTGAAGAGCTAGTTGATAATCGCGGGGCAGTTATTTACAACACCGGCGGGACAATGGCAATTCGCCTCTGTTTAATTGGTGGTACCTGATAACAAGCGTCTATAGCAGCATACTCTATCAAGGATTTGGCAACTGTTTACATCGGGTTTTGGGCTTGGATCTTAGGCGCTTGACGACGCCAACGTTCAGCAACACTTGGTGAACCGCGTGCTGCTCCAAAATGGATTTTTGTCTGTGAGGCTAAAACTTGGTTAAAAAAAGCAGTGGATGGGGGGGGGTTGAAATAGGTATTCAAAATTTATCACTTTGGAATTAATAAAAACAACAAAGCAGTTAATTAGTTCAAGTGTTGATAGAGTGAAATTCACATTATTTTACAACTTTTCTGCCCTGTTTCTTCAATTTTTTGCTGTTCATTATCGCCATAAGTGATTGGTTTGTTGACACAGACTTTCCTCTCCGTTTGGAAGTCCTTTCCTTGTTTCTGCCTGCATTTGGCCCGGTGGCCAGAGTACGCGGATTGGTTGGAAGGGCTACGACCAATTAGAATTTTCCTCTAACTTTATTCGACGCAGACCGTGGTCACGGTACTGCTTTAATCAATCGGAATGCTTGGGGCTTTCTGCTGTGTCGCTCGCCGCCAGCGCAAGTGTTCATCTCGAGTTGGCTGAGCGAAAAAATAAAGGAAAGTGAAAGCTCCGTTTTTTTTCTGCCACTCGTTTGTAAAAAGCGTGGAGCCCGAGGGGCCGCAGGAGCCACTTTTTTAATCTTACGTCGTTTAATGTAGTTTGCAGGACGGCACTTGATTTGGCGAAAAGAATGGGCTATGATATTAAAATAAACTTAAAAATTCTCCGTGAAATGTACCGTTGAAAAAATTTGATTCAACATGTTTTTTGTAATATCTATAACCGTACTGATTATCTGAAAAAGTATACAAATCGGTGATCCTCAAATTTTTCTTATCTCTTGTTATTTTCTGAAGTAATAATTAACTCACTGTTCCACTCCTATCCGCCGGTCCTGTGTGGTATTTGTTGTCTACAGCCGTTTTGCAGTAGATGTAAAACGTTATGACGTTGTTTACTGAATTGCCTAAAATTATATTTCCCTTACTTAATTATAGCAGTTATATCAAGTTGACCAGTTTATAAACTTGCCATGTTGTATACGGAGAGATCATATGACTCTCTCCATTGCTCACGGGCACCCTCAAAACTGTCACCTTCTTGTTAGGAAACATGAATATAGGCAAAATTTCATCAAAATAATCTTTAACTTGACATGTTACAATATTCTTCGAAGTATATAACTCATTTGAGGTGTATTTCAATTAAAAGTAAACATGCTGTGGTTTAGCCAAAATGACCACGTAGCCGAACATAATTGCTTTTGGCAACTATGATATATTTGAGTGGTACCGCTGCTGTCGTAGCATCGGTCTTTTCAATTACTTGTTGCCACCGTACTGCTGTTGACTACAAACAGCTGCCGTAGCATAATGACACAAATCTACACGATTTAGGGGAACTTTGAAAAGATTTGTTAGAAAATCTGTTTGCATTTAGAAACTTTCAGTGATTTAACCAAACATTTATATACATCTTAGTGTTATTAAAGAAAAAAACGCTCAGAATTACTTTACAGTTTTCTCGTCTTTTTTTTTCTGCCTAATTTCACTATCTAATGTTTTCTTAATGGAAAAAGAAATCATATAATTAAGAGAACTAGAACTGATATTTACTAAATAGCGCCGGTCGCCGACGCTACTTGGCCCGTAACACACAACTATATGATTACCTTATACTTACCGAAAATGTTTTAGTATACTGCACTGCTAAGTCACAAGAAAACGGATATTCAAACTATGACAAGGAGAGCGACTGCTAGGAATAAGTCTAGTTGATGCTGAAAGCGTTTTTAAATGATAAATTTGATACTGTGCAGATTATAAGATCCGAAATCTGTCGCCAACTAATACGTGGACAGCAAAATCAATCATTCATCTCAATTCTTTTTCTGTTTTACGTTAAAGCCTAGGTTTAAAAAAACTTTTTTTTCCAATACCATTTGTAAGAAGAAATGAAACAAATGGCCAGCTTTTTACTATGGCTAGTATACACTATGAAAACTGCAATCTAAAGAAACTTTTTGAACGGGCAATAATTACTGTAATCATGACTGAAGTTTAAAGTAACTTTTTTGCTATGGCCTGCTGCTAAAACTGCAAATGAATAATAGGATTTCCGCAGCTAATTTGCTAAAAAACAAGGAAAAATTTTTATTTTCTTAAACTTATTTTTGAAAAATTATAAAGCAAAAATCATATCTTATTTGGCACAAAAGTTTAAATGTCAGTAATTTCACAAAAATTATTTCTGCAACACCTTAGCAACTTTGGTACCGGTGCCGAACAACATCAGAATTAAGGTTGATCGACTATTCAAAATTTTTTATTGGTAGGTCAAAAGTTTCCACGTGCAGTGTTCTACCAAATTTCTTTTTGATATCAACTTTTTTGGTTTACAGATGATAAGTTTGATTCTTTTTGCATATGCTATAAAAATTATTCTGGTATACATTGATCAATATCGCTGACCAAAATGTGTACTGTTTAAAAAAATTGTCGTTCAGACAATCGACATAATACCTAATTAGTATCCTCTAGCAATAAGCGCTTTCTCTTATCACTCATTTCTGTACCTGAATAATCCGCATTTGTACAAATGAGAGTTCTTCAGAAGGATCAAAATTTTAAAGTAAATCATGTTTTAAATAAATGAAACTTTGTGTACAACTTTTTCAAGCATTACCTATAAAACTAGGCACAGAGCAATAGACCAAGCTAGACCATGATAACTGTCATAATAACATGCACAGTTTTTGTTGCTCTTCCCAAAAATGGTTCTTATAC